CCTCAGCCACACAAACTCTATCTGCAGAGCTGGTGCGCCTCGGCCTGCAGACGTTTGTCTCTACAGATTTATATGCACATTAGGTTAGGTAGATTAGGTAAATTCAGAATTGGTCTGCTGTAAGTTTTTTGCATATTGCAAAAATTAACAGTCATACTGTCTAATTCTGGCTGTTGGTGGTGGCACCCCTTCCACCAGTGGCCTGAAGCTATGCGAGTCAGTTCCTAATGGCTTTGTAGTGTGTTCCTTAGTCATATGGCAGGATACCCCACAGAGAAAGTGCTGGTGTATTGGTTTTCCTTTAGTCAGTATGGCAGCCGTAATCTTTCACCTTCTGCCTTTAGCACATAGGATACAGAACCATACCTGAAAGATTACATGAGAATTTGTGACTTAGATTTTCTCAACTGGACAAACCCAAATGCACATTTGTGCTTGAATGTACTTAACTTAGAGGCAAATACATACAATAGATGCAAGTGAAAAATGTGTTGAGAAAGACAGTCTACAGGTATGTAAACTACCTGGGTTCTGGCTGAGAGGGTGTGTGTTGTACTTGCTAAAGCCTTTGAGCTTTTTAACAATTTGTCATTAAAATCCATTCATCATTACAGATGGGTGTAAAGTTCTTCCAAATTCTCTGCATTCATGCTAGGCTCAGGAAGTCACAGCTGCTGTTGCTTCTGCAGTGGGGGTTACAGCATAAGTTTATTCCGTGGTCGTCTTGGCAGATTGCAAAGGCTCAACCTCCTGCACAGGATCCTGGGCTTTCCCTTCTGGGATAGGTGGGACTTCAAATTCAATCAAGCTCACAGCATCTGAGCCCTAGACCCTTAACCACTATACATACGGTTGCTAATACATCAAAGAGCTTACATTTAGCGTGAAAGATTTTAATAAAACACACTGACGGTGGGGTTTGGAGCATTAACCTCCATGTCTTCAACAAGGAGCAGAATTCAAACTCTTGCGTTACATGCAACGCCTCTGAGTTTAAAATGTTGGGGTTTTTTTGTCTTAATGTTGTATTATTATTTTTAGCATCAGTGGCAATCAGTATGTAATGGGCAATGATCTCATGCACTCTCCTGGGTACAGATTGTTCTTTCCCAGTTTGGGAGTATTTGCTTGTTATTGCTGAATTGCCTTGTGCACCCATGCAGAAGAAGCCCTACAGTCATTTAAACAGTCCCTGCCCGGGCTCTCACCATCGAGTACTTCGCAGTTAACCTCTCCATGTATCTTCTAAGGACCAGATAAAGTTAGGCTGAAAATTTCTGTTTCTGGGATTCCTTCTCTCAGGCCTATGTTCTGTGATTGATTTCCATGATGTCACAATTGGGCTTTGAAATACAGGGCTACAAAGTGATTAAAAAACCTCCAAAAATTTATCTTTAAAGGCTGTAAACAGAGTTGGTTTCTAAAATGTAGGAAAAAACACTTGACCTGATTCTGCCCTTCTCTGCAAGAGTGAAGTGGCTTTAGTTGGTGTCAGAATCAACAGTGGGGTCAGTACTGACCTACAAACCCAAACCCCTGTGGAAAGGGTGTGCCACTTTGGCTGTCAGTCCCCAGAGGGAGGCCATGTCACTCCAGGTCTGCTGAAGAAGCACACATAGGATCACACAGAAAGGGAGTGTTTTGCCAGGAGTGTGGTGGAAACACAATTGAAATACATGCTCTTGGGTGGCACGTGTTGTGTTTGAGACCTGTAATATAGGGTAATTTTTATAGTGTAGCCTCCCAAATGAGCTGGATTTGGATATAGCATCTTCTGATCTATGTCTGTTATAAAGAGAGAATTACTCTATTGCAAAGACTGAAGTGTGGTGCTTTCTGTAACTTTTTTGTATGTTCTGTGGTTTAGATTATGTCTATACAGCAACCAAAAACCAGACTGTTTGAAAATACTGCTTTTATCTTTGACTGTAGATACATACAGGCTGCATTTATACGTTCTCTGCTTCTAATTTGGTCCTAGTATAACCATCCATTTTTTTCAGTGTATTTAATGTGATTTGAAAGCACAAAGAGAGCTAAGAAGGTGCTTCTAACAAATAGCTAGACAGAAGTTGAAAAAGGTGGTGTTTGAAACGGCAAACTTGCTGATGTACTCCCGTGGTACTGTCAGAAGCAGGAACTCCTTGTTTCAAGATCATTATCCAAGATGTCTGGACTTGAATGTCTTAGACATCCATGGCAAATAAAGCCTGCAATTAATCCAGGACCATAAAAATTAAATATTGTGAAGTATGTAAAACCATCCAGGTGTAGCCAGCTGAAAACCAGATGCACTGTTTTTGTCTGTATCCCTGAACTTCCCGAATGAACACAATTTACTGTCAGCAGCTGCTGCTGTTTTAAACTCAGAGTGCTGAGATTCATTTCCCCTGCAATGCAAACATATGCATCTTCTGCTGTCATGTATGGATCCTGTCTTGAAATCATTATACCATAAAAATTGCACTTGATTTTGATGAAAGTTACTGTGAGAGAGAGATGCAGATTAGATGTGGGTGCAGATTTCTGGTTATGTGGCATTTAACACATCAGCAGGTGTGGGATCATGTGAGGCTGGAATTTGGCTGTCCAACTGTGCCGTTTGTTATGTGTGCTTAATTTTCAAACTCAGTCTATAGCTCTTGGTTGGTACAGTTGTTCTACAGACTGTGCTTTATTTTTAGTCCTTTTGTCCTGCTCACATCTCTGCAGACACTGGGTGTCCTGCGAGGTAGGGAGTTTTAGTGGTGTTTGCTGTCCCAGTGGGCAAGGAAGAGTTACAGCTGAGCTTAGCTTTGTGTCTACCTTTGAAGCATTTAAAATCTGACTTTTCAAATCCCAGCATGTAGACTTGGAAGAGCATTTCCCAGAGGGGTTAAAAGCACTTGAAGGAGGAAAGCAGTTTAAAGACCATACCTCAGTAAATCTGCTGTTTACTTTGCTTTTTTCTCCTGAGGTTCCATCACAGCTTTCTACCCCTCTCCACAAGCATAGTGCATCCCCTGGGTGAGAAGGCTCTGCTGAAACACCCGGAGCTGCAGCCACTCTCAGGGTGGCTGCGCATGTCATGGGCACAGGGTAGTAAAATGAAGGGTGAATATCCTGAATGAAACATCACACTGCTGATTTTGCAGCCCAACAAATAAAGTACAAATTAGCTCTTTCATCATTTCCTTCATTTTCCTGTTGAAATTTGACTGCTTATAAAAAATAGCTCTGGCTGTGTTTGGGATATAAAAAGTATATTAATAGTGTTAATAGCATCTTAGATGCCTCTTATATTTGAGTTCTGTATAAATGAGGGTGAAGACAGTTGAAAGAGACATAAGAAAACCTGGGTGACCAGCTGTGGTTATGGATTGCATCACCTGCATAGATTTACCTCAACCCTTTTGCTGTCTCGTTTAGTTATTCTCATTTTTACATCCAAAAATCTGCAGCTCCAGATAGCTCTAAGTGTCCCTGCCTACACAGGGGGGCTTGTACAATGTCCTATTGTCAAAAAGGGAACAGTGTATATGTGTTAAAGGGTAATGGCAGTGTGTTTGTTGTGATTTTTTGTGGTTAGTGTAATTTAGATTAGGCATATAGCTGTATACATACACATATATATAAACATATGAACATAGCTGTATAGTACATATATGTGCACATAGTGCAGGGCATCTCGTTAATTATTTTATAAGGAAAAAGGTATACTCTGGCACTAGCTTAGAGGAAATGTGACAGCACAACAAGTTTCTGAGCTATTTCACGTATATAGAAATCTAAATGCATTAAAATAAAGCAAGTCAAAATACTCAAGTGGTATAACTAAGCTGAGGTTTTAGAGTTGGTTGAACAGCAAAGGAAACAAGACAACCGTCGAACTTCTGAAGTCTCAGAGCAGTGGCACCTCAGTGGAGAAATTAATAAGCTTTACATTTGCCTCACTATTTGCAGTTTGCTACTGCATTTGGAGTGGTCTTTTTCTTTGAGGATACTTCAGAGATAGAGGCTACATGAAGAAAGCAGGGCTCTGAAAATAATTAGGTTTTTTTTTTAGTTGTGTCATTCATGGGAACGAGGACTGTCTTCAAACTCCTTTTCATTTGTTTTGTTTTCTCTTTGGTATTGTAAACTTGCTCTGCTGTTGATAGGTTGAGTTTCTGTGAGAATAGCTGGAGGCAGGGGTGGAATTGTGAAGCAAAGAGTTGTTCTACAGCATATTTTACATGGTCTATTCCTTTTCCTTAGTATGGTGTATTTTAAATGTTGCAGCTTTACATATGTGTATTTGCTGAAGTGCTCCCAGGATGGAGAAGAGAAACACAAGTGGTTAAGGGCTGACTTTTAAGCCTGATTCTGACCTTTCCAGGGTGTCTGAGCATCTGCAGCTTCTCAGCCTCTCACACAGGGCTTGTTGCTGCCACAGCTTCCTGCCTATGGCAAGGCTGCAGTGTACCTCATGGGAGACACTTCTCCAAAGCTTTATTGTGTTGAAGTTTTTTTAAAAAAAAAAAAATTAAAAAAAAATAGGAAGTTTTGGTTCATATCAAAGTTACTTCACTGAAAGCAAGCTTGGGCTGTAAAGTTGTGTGGTGCTTTCTGCAGAGGAATAAGGCAGTTCCTGGGGATGCCCGACTGCAGTCAGTAACAGAAGGAGTGAAGGAAAGCATTAAAGGACATGCTCTTGCTCCATTGAAAACTGTGTTAGTTTTGCCATTGATTTTTAATTATTTCAGGTTAAAGTCTCTGGTTAATAATTGTTCACAACCCTGTATAAAACCTCCCTACTCCATCTCAGATGAGGATTGGACTCTGGCTCAGTGATGAAGGGGGTTCAGGTGATGGTTGTCTGCACCAACTTGGGCAGCTCAGGGGCCTCTCTCAGCTCTGTTATGAACCCTAAGATGGGGATTTTTTGCAGTATATTGGTTTGTAATTGCTTTATGTTCTCATGTAAGAAATGATGTGACTATTTTTAGTAAGATGAGTATAATTTTTCTCCCCATTTATAGGATGGCTATTTTTCCCACCGACCGAAAGAGAAAACACGAACAGACAGCAATAATGAAAATTCAGTCCCCAAGGACTTTGAAAATATTGATAACAGTAACTTTGCTCCCAGGACTCAGAGGCAAAATCACCAGTCTGAGCTGGTGAAGAAACCCCTTAGTAAGCAAAAGGAGCACTTGAGAAAGAAACTGGAAGAGGAGAAAATGAAGGAGAACTTGCTGCTAGGAAAGAACTCCAATGAGGTGGTGCAATTCAGTGATCACCCCAGAAAAAACAGCAGCAGCAGCAGCAACAACAACAATTTGAAGGAGATTCACAGGTCTCCCAGACAGCATCATTTAAAAAAAATTGGAAACAGCTCTCCTGAACTGAAATATGACCAGCCACCGAAGTGTGAGGTAACAGGCAAAGAGGCAATTTCAGCCATGTCCCGGTCTAAAACTAAGCAGTGTCGTCAGGAGATTGCAGACGTGTATTGTCAGCACATGCATGGAAAGCTGATGCCGGAGAAGGTGACGCGTTTCTGTACACTGGAGGGTAAGTTGGTGAGGGAGAAATAACCTGGTATCTTGGGGGAAGGATTCTGTATAATTGAAATGGCTTTCTGATGACAAAAAATGCCTTTATTGCAGGAGTGTATAATGCACTTAGTCTGTAAAAACAAGGGAGGGTTTGAGGACGTTTTAAACAGGGAGATACATGGATGTCACTAGATCCTTGGTAGAGTCCTATAGAATATCTCTTAACTTCCTCAGGACTTTATTACATTATGTGATCTAGGTATTCAGCTGCATCTCCTGTTTCTTTTAGTTCTTAATCTAGAGACACGTAGATGCCTAATTGAAATCTTGTTATTCTGTGCAGTTGTTTGCTTTTTTGGGGATCAGGGAACAGCCTTGGTGAATTTTAGTGTCTTATGGCCATATACCCATTGTTCTGGCACAGTGGAGTCCTAGCTAATAACCAAGACTGTTGAGCATTTTGATAACCCAGATAATTAACAAAAGTATAATATATAAAAAAATATTCCAAAAGCACAGGAAAGAAGACAAATTTTGTGGCTCACTTCTATTTTTAGTGTTCATCAATCAGCAAAAGTAATTTCCAAAATTACTGTTGTATAGAGTCAGTTACTTCTGGCAGCCCCAGCCAAGCTTTCATCTGTTGCTTTTGGTGCCTCCATGCAGTCAGATACATGGGGTATCTCTCACCTTGCTGTCCGTTTGCATCTGTGAGCTGACCTTTTCTGACTTTTCAAGAAGGGTTCTTCATGTGCCACCATTCATTTAACTTTAAGCTTCCCATACACTAAAGTGCTTTTTATTTCATGCCTTTTTTTTTTTTTTAATCATTGATCAGTTGATCAAAGTAGATATTGATCAAAGAACAGCATTATCGTCAACAGCACTTGTTTATGCAGCAATTCAAAGTCCCCATCATGTAATTGGCACTTTGGCCTGCGCATATAAGGATATGCTGATGTTTGTGTCAGAGCTGAAAGTGCAGAGAAGCTTTCACAAACAATATAATAGATCTTGCTTTGAGATGGTACGGTAGACATGGTGAGCCATGGGGATTAGGTGATGTTTAGTGTCTTTCATTAGGAATATTTAGTTACATCCTCCAGCCTCCATGGTTTACTTGTTAATTGCACCATCCCAAAGCAGCAGTTACTGTTGGGTGGTTTCACTATGAGAGGGAGGAGGATCCATGTTCTTACTGCCTAAATTAGGAGGCTAAACTCCCTGTGCAGACAGTGGAAGAAAGGAGGAGTCCCAGAGGATGTTTCCAAACAAAAGCATCTCTCTGTAATAGGAAGTTTAGGCTTTTAATGTAGATGGTGCTTATTACCAGCATTAATGTTGTGAGTACCCCATTTCCCACCCCAGTGCATCTGTGATTGTTGGGCTTTTACTGTTTGGTTGATTTTTACTATGTTTTTTCTGCCTTTCTTACCATAGTAATACTCAAAATGGTTAGGCTGGGTGGGCAAACATTGGAGATAAATAGTTAATGGAGCAGGCAAAAGACTTGGTGTTCAGTGGGAATCAGAGAGGGACTGCAAAGGCAGCACTGGTTGTAGGAAGATGGAAGAACAGTAGAGGGGTAAGAGGTCAGTGACAGGCTGAGCATCAGTGAATACCCCTGACTGTCCTTGATATCCCATTGGGGTGCCACTGGTGGAATCCACTGAGATAAACATGTCCTTGGTATCCTTCCCTCTTCTCCTCTAGTGACAGGTGAGTCAGTTCAGGTCTGTGAAAAAGCTGTTGGAGGTCAGCACCTTGCAGACACTGTCCTACAAGTTTTGAGATCAAGAATATGTCTTAGTAATGTCATTGATGGTACATAACTTGTGCAGGGTAAATGCATCACATGTACAAATATGCAAGGGGTGTCCTGGAGAGAGCTGAAAGTTGGATTGTCATTTGTGTGGCTGCACATGGCAGCTGGGTGTGATTTTGCACACACTTGTGATTCCATTCCGTGCCTGGCAATCTGCCTCCCAAGAATGGAGGGTGATTTTCCAGAAGTTTTAAACAACTGTCGTTCTTTAAAAAATGGCTTTTCAAGTAGTATTGATTGCTCCCTTTATAAATACAGAATTTATCTCAGATGCCCAGGAGTCAGGATAGTATAGTGGTCTTAGAAGCAAGAACAGTGTCACCTTTCAGCGTATGTGTACATTACACACTGGGATAAATGCTTCCTTTGTAATAAGACTTAGCAAAATGTTCAGGAAAGCTGGGAGCTTGACCCATGACTAGAAAAATGGAGAAGTTACCCAAATGTGGTTTTATTGTAAAATACACATTTATTTAGTAGCAACTCATGAGGTATGGATATACACCACATGAAAAAAATTAAGTGTTAAAAAGACTATGGCTACAATTTTTCGATTTGCAGTGCTGACGTTTAGACTTTTATTTTAGGCAGTGATGAAGTTTAAAAGACTAATTGAGGGATGCCTTAACTTAGCCAGATGGATTCTTGTGGAAAATGTTGACTTTTCTTTGTCCCAAGGTTATTTCCTCCTGCCCATGCTGACAGCTGAAGTTAACCACTTAAACAGCCAGATTGGTAGAAAATCTGGATATTCTATGTTACATACAGGGTTGCTCTAGAGAAGATCTGGAAGCTTTGCTGTGGGGAAGTGATAAAGCAGCAGCATACTGAAGAGGACACAAGTTTCTTACGCACGAGGTGCCAATGTACAAGCAGATTATGTTGGGACATTAGACCTATGGTGGAGATCTAGACTTTGAAGTCGCATTTATAATGTCTGGATAACAGACATGAAGGAACCCCAAAATTTAAGGTGCCCAGTGCCTACCTGAATGCCTTATTTGTATTTAACTTAGTAGGGCCCTTAAATTTTACAGCCCTGTTAAACATATGTTGCCTAAGTTTATGTGTTGTGGTCTCAGATCTCCCCTCCCCACTGCAAAACAAAAATACTGCTGCTGTTCATTCATGTACTGGCTCTATATCCTCATCAACGATGTCTTCACGAACTCTAGAGGTCCTTTAAAGGCGTTGAACTTGGTTAGGAGGGATTTGTGAAGCACTGACCATCGCCTTTTGGGGTTATAAGGCACCCCGTTTTTAGGATTGCTGGTAGGGGGAGGTCTGGGTACAGGTTTTGCCAGTTTATGCATTAAAAAAGGTATATGCTGTTTGTCAGCCAAAGTCAGACATCCAGGGATTGAGTCTATGTTTTCAACATATGAGTGCTATTCACTTCAGTTTGGTTTGAAAAAAGGTTTCCTGTCTGTTTTCAGCAGAGCTGTTAAGTATTTATGCATTGGAACAGCACACTCATCCATTATTCCACCATATTAACATGTTCCCAGTGCTGTGGTTTCCATTGAGATGTCATCCAGCGTTTAATCCCCTTGGATCCTGTCTCAGCTGCTCAAAACCACAAAGTTGCTAAGTGTAGCTATCAATCATGGACATGACTCCATCCAGCTGGATTGTCATAAATGTTAAGTGATATATTCACTTGAATGGTTATTGACAGGAACAGGATCTTAAACCTGTTTCTTTTAAGTATTTTATTGTTTCTAGAGGCAACAGGCAAAGGAGTTGAATATAACTATCTTGAGTGTATAAAACAAAAGCCTTGCTAAAACCAAGAGCATCATGCTTACTACCTGTTTGACATGCAGGCACTATTTCCATGAGAACAAGAGGACACAAGCTGCAATCCTTCTTAGGACATTGTGGAGAGACGACACTGCTGAAGCAGCAAAATGAGAGAGGGCAATTTTACCAGCTACCTGACTCGCAGAGCATGTGAGCTGGCATTTCTCAGCAAGCTGGTCCTGAAAACGGCACAAATGCTACAGAACATGTAGGTGCAGCTCTATCCGAAGTCATGGCTGAGATCAGGGCAACAAGCAGCTTGCAATTCTCTGTTCACTCAGAAGAGAATGCTTGGAATTTGTGTGTTTTGAGGGAAATGCAGGCTAGGGGAAAAGTAGTCTCAGCACAAGGTTACATGAGGACAGGGCAAACCCAGCCCTGTGCAGGTTGGAGAGAGGGTATAGAGAGACAATCTTTTGGAAAGTTAGTTTCTCCTCAGGAGACCTAATGTGGAGAACTGCAACCTGTGGACAATGTAATATGTTTATTTCCTGGGGCCACCTCCAGCCTGGTCCTATACAGGCTAGACTAGAGACACTGATTCCTCTGGCATGCCAGGCTTGCTACTGCTTAACAAAGCTGTTGGTGTACCTGGACCAGCTGCCTCCCTTCCTTTTTTGTCATCATACATGGCCCCCTGCTTGTCCAGAGGCACTGAGACAAAGCAGAACTTTCAATGGGAATTCTTGGCTCTAAAATAAGCTTCACTTTGTACCTAGATAAATTCCTCTTTGACAAAGCACAGGATGACCTGATCTGTGCCACTTTCCTCCAGCAGAACCCCTTATGACTGCAGGAAGGAGTACCTTTTAGAATGGCTGCTGTGACCCTGACTGCTGAGATTGCTGTCCTGATTATTGGGCACCAATGCAATTAGCATTACACAACTCCACATTTCAACATGCATATTAAAGCTGTGACTTCTTCTTGCAGTGTTCCCTCTGTGATGAAAAAAGCCCAGCTTCTGACCTACTGACTGGATTCAGTTGTCAAATCCTCTGTTTTTCACTCCCATGTGGATTGTAGTAGTTTGTAGTCTGAATCCGTTGCCTTGCAGATTTGCTGGATATGCAGCATAGTTCCTCCTTAGTCATTGGCACCAGGGCCGTGGGTCATCACAAGCACCGTGCCAAGTGGTGTCTGCATCCCTCCTCCTCTGGGAAGCTTCTCTAGGCTGCTCTACCCCCAGAGAAGACTCTGACCTAATCCTTATCACCAATTACCCTACTGAGTTTGTGCTTAACTCAGATCTATAGATAGACCAGTATGTAACCACTTATATTTTTTTGAAGGGTGTATTTTTAGATGTAGTTCTGGAAAAAGACAAAACAAAGCAAAGAGCCTCGAGTGAGCCTGATTTATTTCCCCTTGGTTCTTCTGTTGTCTTT